GCTCCACTCGCGCCGTGAGTAGAATATTGAAAGTAAACAGCCCAGAGAAAAGGCCAAAGCTCACAGATAAAATGCGGCCTAAGTGCCTTGGATTTATACGCCTGCTAATGGAATTCTGTGTAAAAATTGTGGCGAAGCAACAGCTTAGCAAAGGTGAAAGGTTATCATATAATATCAAACCGTGTGTGCAACCCCAATTTCGTTTAGTTTATTTGCTCAACTTGACATTTTTTTTGGTCACAGGAACATGCGAAGCAAACCCTTTTTTGCCATCTGCTGCTTTACATTCAATAAAATTTGCCATTGTCAAGTGCACTTGTTCGAGTGGAAAATGTTTTTCACTTCGATAAACACAAAAAACTGTGAAAAGACGAATGGCAAATAGAAAATTGTGAATTTTTGCGACGAGTTAACAGACACAAGAGTACTTCCAAGAGAGCTTTACATGTCAAAAACGCAAATGGATAGGGGAATTCGCATGGGACACGTTTTAAAATGTGTTAAATTATAAAGTTGCACCCACGAATTGGTTTGAATTTTGTAACACCATCAAACAAAATTGTAGTAGACAAGTTCTTTAAGTTATTTCAAAGATAATTTGGTATGACAAAGTAGTGCAGCAAGTGTCAAGTGATTTTAAGGATGAATATATAACCATCTTCCTCAGTTGCCTTTAAGATGAAGAGGTTTGGACACATGTTTGTAAAGAAATTTCAAATTAAATTAAGTGACTCAAAGTGAAGACTTCAAAGTGTATTACTCAGGACTATAAACCATTTAAAAATATATATTTAAATGGCTATTTTAGTGTAGAAAGAGTCTACAAAGTATGAATATGCCCATATGTATATTAATCACTTCTTTTATTTTTCTTTTTTTCATTGAACCAATGAGAGCAAGGTGGGTGCATTAATTAAATTTAATGAATTGTGACAGAGTGTTGATTTAATGCCTGCACAGCCGCTGCAAATTGGGTGGGGGTGCGAGATTTGCGAGATATTTGTAATTGCCAAGTTGTTTGCCGTGCAGCATGGCGTATACGTGATGTAGTTTTGTAATTTTAGCAGTTTTTTGGAGGCCAAGATGCAGTTCTTCTCGGGGTGTGGCATATAAATTTCAGCCAGGGTTAAGTCGAATGCACGTGTTGTTGCCTGATATTCGCCCATTCTTAACCCCTCAACTGCTGCTGCTGCTGCTGCTCATGGGCACATGGCGTATGAGTAATGTAATTTCGTTGTGACGTCAAGCCTTCCCTGGGCCTGTCAATCTCTAATGGGAGCCCACACACATATCTTTGCCACACATGTTCTCGTTTATTCCCCAAATGTCCTCAAACTCTCGCCTGCTGCTGCTGCTGCCATGCAAAAACTGAAAATGAGCTATGAAAATTTGTTGCCTGCGGGCTTTTTGTGCAGCATTCCCAGGGCTACTTCCACACTTTTTCCCCCTTTTCGCCCTTTGGCACCGCAAATACACAATGCTCATTGCTTATTTATCAAATATCCACACATTGCCTGCAGTTACAGTGGGCCCTCGACTCCCATTCCCCGACTTTTGGGCCCTTTACTCGCTGATTTGTTGAGAGGCAGCCAATAAAACAAGCTCTTTTTGCAGAGGTCATGCACCGAAACCAAAAGGGATAAATTGAAAAACAAATAGGATTATTTTGGCTCATTTGGATGATTTATTATAATACTTAGCTTAATCCCCCGCCTTTACAAAATTATTAATTACTTTAAGTAATGTCAGAGACTTTGCACATTTCATTTAAGAGATGTTAGATAATATCTAATATTTCATTTAATTTAGATTCTGAGCTAAAAATAATAATAGAACATTGTGATAATATTTTAAAATTTTTTTTAATATGGGTTATAGGAAAAGTTTGTGTTCAAAATATATAGGAAAAATTTAAAAGGTAATAAGATACCCAGAAAATTTAAAACAATATATTATATAATAATATATATATATAATAATATATATATATAATAATATATCCAATAATATTATAAATATATTTTTATATACAACGAAACAATTTTGTTGATAAACATTTTTAAAAATAATTATTATTTTCTCTCTGTGTACCTGCTCTTATGCGATTGTGTGGGTGGCCGCGCAATTAGTTGGCGGCTGCATAACGGATTGTTTGTGTTTTTCCCCCTCACTCCCCCCGTTCGATTTTCACGGACCGAGGGCTGAATTATAAATAAATCTCCGCATTACGTTTAACATGAATCCAAATCCCGTGTGACGTCACCATGGTGTTGCCCACACAAAAATTAAATACAATTTGTTGTTGCGTGCGAGAAAATCATATTGTGGCAGGCAAACTTTTATTAACTTGGGTTGAAGTTGCTCTTTGAAATGTTTTCAAGAATCACATTGGACATGATTTTTGAATAATTAATTCTGAAAGTGAGTAAGCCAAGCGAAATGTTGGCTTGTCTGAGATTAAGCCAACACTTTATGCATTAATTACCTAAAAAGGAGACTGTCTGGATGTTCTGTTCCCATTCCCCCATTTGTAATTGCAGGCCAGACTTGGGGATAATTGATTAGAGTTTTGTTTTAAGTGTCCGGAAGTAGGAGGCGGGGTTTTTGGCGATAATGATTTTGGCCATGTTTGTACTTGGCCACATTGTGTTCCTCTGTGTGTGCGTGTGTTTGTTTGCTAATTAGAGGCCAAACTTTCTGCCTAATTAATGTCATTAGTGTGCACATTGTCCCAGAGACAGAGGGAATGAGAGATGTTCTCTGATAAGGGAAAATATTCGGGTGGAAATGGGAACTAGTGAAAGAGAGAAAGGCGGGCGGAAAAACTTTACTTGATGACTTTTCCCCGAATGATTACAAAGGACAGATGGAAATTCAATGGTCTCAGCACTGGGAAAATAAATTTGTAAAATTTCTTTTAGCATTAAATATTCAAAAATAATATCTATGGCAACATGTTTAAATACTATATATAAAGATCGAAAAATACTAAGGAATCTTATGCCATCCTTAATTTCTCTAACCTTTGAGATTTTTTCCTGTGTATAGATGTGAGATATAAGAAATGTGGGTGTATTTTCATCAGATTTTAAGACAAGAGATATCCAGCTAATTTAAGGCCCTTACTTTGTGTTTTAAGTTAGGGCTGTCAGCTCTAATTGATAAATGACCAAGAGCCACAACTGTCTATCTCAATTTGCATAACTGATACAGAATTTTAATTGGCTTTCATTTTGCTTACATTAGTTTCTAATTTGTATATATTACCATGGTGTTTAGTATGCTATAAACAATATTTTCACCTATATCAAAGTCAAGGCCTTTCCTTCAGCGGTTTTCCTTTGACAGGCGTCAAATCAGATAAATAAGCAAAAAAATTGGAAGGTATATAATGCTTTTGAATCCCTAAACCAAATATTAATATTTTTAATTAAATGATTAAATATTTAGCAATTTTCACCCCTATGTCAAAGTCAAGGTATTTTCCTCTGCGGTTTCTCTTTTGACAGCCATCATATTTTTTATTTGTCTTATTTTTCTTTGGCTGTTTTTGAACTTGATGTGAAAAATAATTTCATTACTTCAGCGCGTCAAACAAAAAACGAAACGAGAAAAATACGCTTTGTTTAAAAACATATTTAGGCAAACACGTCAAGTCTTTTGGTGGCTGGCATTCTGCCAGCGGAATTCGTATCTGTTTCGAATAGTTTGCCGAGGTGCTGACGATTGGCCACGCCCTCCAGCACATATATGTTTATACTATATAATATTGCCGCCCCCCGGTGGCAATTTGGGTTGCGTATTTAGAGCCGCTTTGATATTTATTCACGTGCGATTAACCCAACTGGTATGCAGTACGAATTTTTGCTTTGCACATTTGCATTTAATATTGAATGAATTATTCACTGCTACGGTTTGTTTATGCCACGCAACTTGTTGAAAAATCGAAATTAATTTGCTAGTCCGAACCGCCAATTAATCGTGTGATGGCCGTGTGAGCGATATTTTCATTTCTGTTTAGGCCATAAATATTTTTTCGTGTGGGAATTGCGCAGGGTTTTCGACGGCTCTTCTTTTTTGGGGCTGTCTGTCAAACGATCGGCAAGTGGAAAATGTATTTGGAATTTCACTTTAATTGCTTTGTGTAAGCGATCTTTCGCCTCGAATTTGGTCTGGTCTGGTCTATTAAGGTTGGAATTTTAATTGCGTGATATTTTGCGCTAATAGTACGAAAATAAGATGTTTTTCTTCTGGTTCTTTTTTGTGGGATAATGTCTAAAAATAAAGTGGTACTAGAAACTGGGGACTTGGGCAATTTCCGGTCGTTTTGCGGCTTGTTTTGCCCACATCGCTGGTTCTTTTATACCCTTCACTTAAATTTAACAAGGAAATAATGCGCATCCGCCATGTCAGCCCGTAGGAGGACAAGAGTCCTTGCCGCAATTTGACCCAGTCGAGTTGGCAGCGCTTAAGCCTTTAACAACAATTAAAAATATTACTCTCGAGCACGGAGAAAATGAACAGAAGCGAAAGAAAGCAGGGACATGTGTGCACTTGGAGAAAGTAAGCTATGGGATTACGTAAAAAAATCTTTAAAAAATACCTATAACCTAGAATTTAAGGTAGATAGATGGGAATATTTTCTAAAATTTAGAATAGTAAGGAATCTATTGTATTACTACATTTTTCTCTTGGTGCACAAAAGAGCTTTTGTGGCCACTGAAGTGGTTGCATGAGCAGCTGCCCGCCAGGCAATTTTCCCACTGCCCAAAGGACTCACCGCCAAGCGGAGGAGACCCAAGGACCAAAAGCCTCTGACCAGCACACACACACGACAATTAAAGTAAAAGCTTGTCAAGTGCACATTCTCCTACACGTATATGTATAAGCTGCCAAGTGGATTGTGTTGTCTACTCTTTTATTTTTTTTTCTTTTTAAACATAAATTAGTTTGCTCCTGACTCATTTCGCCCCCACCACTTTTCGTCTCTATTGTTGCAGAACCAAGAAAAGACAAGACTGATGCACAACAACAACACGGAGGCAATGGCACAATATCCACGCCCAACATCGAGCAGCCCACCTGCCAGGGCTCGATGCTGCCGCCCCCCGGAGGCGGTGGCCATCACCAGGTGGACGGGAGTGGCAAGATGGAGCGGCCCAACACGCTCGCCGGCGCCAACAAGCTGACCCGGCGAGGGGTCAACATCTGCTACCACAACGAGCACATGTGTAAGTGCGGCAAATGTCCTTGCAAATGGCAATCTTAAAGTCATTAGATAATAAGGCGCTGGGTGGCAGGGCAAAGGAAACTGAAGAGTACACGAATTTACTTTTCCCAGAAGTATTCCAATTTAAAAACTTTGATTTAAAACACTTAATTTTTTAGAATCTAATTAAATATTTGAGTTTTCCTATAATAAGATAATTAAAAATGTACATTTATTTTGTTTGATTTTTATTAATTAAAGTAAACTAAACAATTTTGAAAATAATTTTTGATTAATTAAATTTACAAATTTTTTTTCGAAAGTATAAAAATGAAATATTTTTTAACAAATGCTTTTATAAATATAATAGTATAAAGTTTTATTATTTTTTGAAAATAAGTGTGAATCATATTTATATCCAAAATTGACTTTTTGGATTTTGGAATCTAATTGTAACCGATCTATAAGTTTCCTTTGCTCTATCGCCAAACTTCACCCACATTAATCCACCGCGCACACACCTATACAGTCACTCACCCACGCACACATGCACACTCTCACACACACATTGGCTAGACAACGAGGAAGAGGTGCTCACTTACTTTCTCTTCTCACTTTCTTTTCTCTCTATAAAAATCTATCTATCTCTATCTGTATCTTCTACTTCCTCTCCTCTTACCACTGAAAAACAAAAAACTGAAAAAAACGAAAACGATTGCGAACCAATTTTCTAATTGATCTTAATCAGATGGCGAAGATGGAAAAATGGTGGGTGGTCCGCCGGGCAGCACTCCGCCCCCCTATCCGGGTGGCAAACTGCCGCCGGGCGTGATGCTCAGCGAACTGCCGGAGCCACCGATTCCGCTGTCGGAGATCGGACCGATCCCACCGCCCCCGATGTTCTCCACTCCGAGTCCCACGCTCATCGCAGGACGACCGCACGGGCCGGGGGCCGTCAACGATCAGGATTACCAGCAGGACTACGACTACGATGGTAATTCCCTACCCCACCCCACCCCAACCCAACCCAACCCAACCGAACTGATCCGAACCTCTCCTGAAGACTCCAAACCCAAGAAAACCCCCCTTCTAGATTAGCCAACCCTCAGCTCATTAACAAAAACGCGCACTTCATAATGTATGCTAGTTGGGAAATGTTGATATTAAGTTTATATAACTATATTTAAATTCGAACTAGAATTTTAGGTAATCTTTCAATTTTAAAATATCGTTTTCTACCAAAATGGTAAAATTTTTCAATATCAATATACTAAACATCGTATATTAATCATAAATGGTACCAATTTGTCATAAAAACTATAGGTAAGGAACTTATATACATTGGCTTTGCTATGATATGATATGATATGATATGATATGATATGATATGGTATGATATGATATGATATGATATGATATGATATGATATGATATGATATGATATGATATGATATGATATGATATGATTTGATATGATATGATATGATATGATATGATATGATATGATATGATATGATATGATATGATATGATATGGTATGATATGATATGATATAACATATAGAAATATTGAAACTTTAAAAACATGTCAATAATATAGATACCAATTTGTCACAAAAACTATAAATATAGAACATAATAATATTTATATTTCTTAATAATTAAAAAATACTATCAACTTGATGTCAACACCCACAATAGCTAGTCCCCTCCTATCCCCCAACCTCCCCGAAATACATTGAATTGCATGTTGAATCTTTACTAATTATAAATATTTTCACCCAAAACAGATCACGATCCCGATCAGGATGAGCTTGACTCGGACGACGAGTATGCCCCATACGGTGGCAACCATGTGCGCATGATGGACACGCAGCGCGTCGAGGAAATTCCAGCCAAAGAGCCCAAACCAAATGCAGTTCCTCTCAAGTCGGCGCTGAAGAAGAAGGGCGGCATCCAGCCCGCCTCCGCCTCCACGCCGGTCACGCCCACCCAGGAGCATGGGGCGGGCAGCGCGGCAACGGCGGCGGCCTTGGCAAACAGCAATGGCGGTATTGGTTCGATGGCGGCAGCCGCGGCAGCAGCGGCCCAGCAATCCACCAACCAGCGTCCGCTGGTCGTTCGCCAGGATGCAGCGGGCAACAACTATTCGCTCAAGTGAGTACCAGATGGGATTACCAGATCAAAACAGGATAAAGGAGACTATGCTTAATCAAGGAAAAATTAATAAAACCATTGTCAAACGACTCCTACTTTGAAAAACTTTAACAAAATGTCAAAGTTTTCTATAAAAATGTGATTAAAGATTATTTGATTTATTTCTGGATGATTTAAGTCTAATATTATATGGTATATATATGTTTCATAAGCATTATAAATATTTTTAAACTGTGCTTTAACTTTTTCTTTTACATATTTGAACCACAAATTGTTCCCATTTAAAATGGATGTCAAGGAAAATAACCAATTACCATTACAGTTCCCTTGATTAAGCATAATCCGAACAATTATCCTTTTAAGTAGCATAATTTTGTACCGTTTTACTAAACTCCCAGTTGACCCGTTTAAACACGTCCCTTACTACCTCCAACTTCCCCACGTTTTTTGGTAGTTTTTTATTCATACACCCAACTAAAGTTTGTTAATTTGCCCAGAGAGAGAGTTTCGTTTGTCTCTCTCTAGTATAATCACAACTTTTTATCTACTATAAACCGAAGAAAAAAGCTCACCAAAGAATAGTTCCCCCAAACCCTTTCTATACTTGTTATGTTCTTATTGTTACTCAATCTATCTTTTCTATAACAAAAACAATTTGTTCTCTTTTCCTCCCCCCGACTGCCCCCGAAAACCTGTGTTTGTTCTATTTCATATACAATTTCGATTCGATTCGTTTGTGTGTGCGTGTCGAACAACAAATCCATCCACTTCTATATCTACTACTACTACTACTACTATCTCAACTAAAACAACAAAATATGTAACGAAATATCAGGCCAATACTACGACCACGGATTAGACTATGGTAAACAATTTTTAGCTAATTTATTTGTAATGTGAAAACCATGAAACCCAAACAATAAATGCTTTTAGTGCACCCTCTCATATGGCTCCCATTCTCTCTATACTTCTCTCTTTCTAAATGTTTTCAATGTTGTTATATAACACTACACTCCTTCTCTGTTGTATAACACTCCCCGCAGTCCTTTTCAAAAATAATCCCCTCACAAACAAAACAAAAACAAAAACTGCTCTCATTGTATACTTGCACTTTGCTGCACTCTAACACTCAGCTCTCTGTATATTTGTACAAGTTTTTGTTTTATTTTTGGGTAAATAAAAACGCAAAACTTTACAACACTGGTAGTTCTCTCACGAGCCCACACACACACAGCCGTACTCTTACACTTATTAAATTACTAACTTTTTTGCTGCGATTTTCGTTGTTTGCCTCTTATGAGTTTTTCTTTTATTTTTCCAACACAACAACACTCGAGTCCTTTCCATTACCCCAGTATATATGTGTGTGTGTGTATCTGTGTGACTGTGTGTATCTGTATGTGTAGAATTCTTTTTTTTCGTAAAAACTTTCTTTGTCTCTTCCTTTTGCTACTGTTGTCTGTGTTGTATTTCCCTCTGAGTCCTGCATGTTTCATTTCAAGTAGGAATTTGTTTCAAATTACAATTTGCCTTCCCAGTTTTAATTTGATATTTCCCACATTCGAAATATGCAAAAAAAAAAAGAGAAGAGGGGGGAAAGCTAAAAAGGAAATGAGTTTCCCGGTCAAGTTTTTTCATTAGGCAAACTTTGCCTTTAAGTTGTCCAGAGGCCAAATGAAAACTTCAAGTGTGCCGCCAGTGCATCGAAATTGAAATTGAAATTCAAATTGAGTGGAGGACAAAGGCAGGCCTGAGTATTTCGCTCCTCTCGTTTCACATGACCGATATGGCCAACAATTTATGCACTTTATAACGCACAGATATCAAATAAAAGGGGGGAAAATATGTAAAATAGCTGCAGCGCCGGCAAAACGTGCCTGGTAAAAAGCGATTTCTTGTTGTGCGCCCTCCAATATCTAACCATCTGTACATCTATCTATCTATCTTTCTATCGGGAAATATGTGAGAGTGGGCTGAATTTATGGATATGTCGCACTATGAATCCATTTTGATGGGGGCTAAATCGCTTGAAATGTGAAGGAGATGTGTCAGGAAAGAAATGTGGGAGAACATAAAGGTTATGTTTGAGATAGAATTTTTAAAAAGGGATTGAATCAAGTTTACAATGTTAAAATATTTGTATATTATTTTGCAAAAGATTGAAAAATGTTAGAAATACATTTTTGAAGAAAAAACTGATGAGAAACAAGACTAATAACACTAATAAAATTGTTAATTCCTTTTTGAAATTACTGAAAAATGTTATAACTACAAATTTTAAGAAAAAAACAGATGCAAAACGAGACTAATGAAAAAAAAAATTTTTTAAGTAGACAGGTTTTTTATATTTTCTAAGCATTACAGAATTAAATAAAATATATGTCATGCTGATAAGATTTTCAAAAGTAAAAATTAACGAAGTTTGTAATTTTTAAATATTTTTAAACCATTATGAAAAAAATAATAATATTGAAATTATATTTTTAAATCCAAAGACTGATGATAAACAGGACTTAAACTAGAAAAAGCTTATAAAGTAGCGAGGACTTTTAAATTTTCTGAGCATTAGGAAATTACAAAAAATATCTGCCATGAAAACCCTACGTTTTTTGTACATTCTGGTTACAAGTTATAATCTTCTAGGGAGATAGCAACTTCCTGTATGGCATTTCCACTCGACTTCCTCGGAGACAGTTGGCTATGAGGAAACTATGTAGTGCTTCTTCCCACCAGGGAAAACGCGTCCTGCGTCACACACACCCACGCTCACTGTAAAAAAAATTTACCCAGCTTTGTTCGGTTTTTATCCAATCGTGTTTTGCATTAACGCCCCAAAAGTGCGGCGGAAGCAGCCAACAGGATATGGCATTCGAGGCGGGCTTTTCAAACCTTCGCCCAAACCCCCGGACAGCTTTAAGTACAAAGTCAAACACATGAGCGCTCCTACATACGAACCATACATGCATGTGTTTTGCATATTATTTGCACGGGTGTGAGCTGCCAGCTGTGCACTCCACGTGCCGTTTTCACGAAAAAAAAAGAAAGAAAATAGAGGAAAATGGGGGAAAAACCAAACTGCCGCAGCAGCAGAGCAAAATAAAGAGGTGGAAAAAGCATTCTCATTTCTTTTTTCGGTTTGGCGACAAAACTTTAAGAACAAAAATGGAAAAAGATAGACAAGATACAGTGGTGTTTATAATAATAGGTGAGAGACTTTATTTCCTGAGTGTGTTTAAATTTGTAGGGATAACGAAAAAATTAAATTTAATTTAATTTCCGAAATTAAAGACAATCTAAATTTATATAGTCATACATATTTTGGGTTATATTTTTAATTTTAAACTATAGAAAAAATTAAGTCATAACTGGGAACGGAAAAATTTATTCATGATATGATCAAAGTACTTTGCAACATTTTTGTAGTCGTAAAGAAAATATGAAAATTGGGTTTTACAACCACAACAATAATTCGTTGCGCTATAAGCTCGTTATTAGCCTGTAAAACCGTTGCAATTATAAACGATTAAATATGCAAAGCAGGTATTTAAAATATTTATGGATATTACACGCTACCATTTCACCTGCAACTGTACTTAGAGATACAGAAAGACCTAGAATTGTGTGCACGTGGATGAATAAATTTAACACATGCAGGGATATTTATGCACATGTGAGTGCCAGAAGCTGCCTAAATCTGGCAGATTGCCTGGCCAAGATTGCGGAAGGGAAAGTAAAGGAAAGGGGAGGGCTTTGAGGAGTAGGAGGACTCGGAGGAGAAAGGACTGTAATGCATGGGCTGTCTGTAGTCTGTAGTCTGTAGCCTGTAGTTGCCAGTAGTTACTGTTTGTGGTTTTGCTTTGTGCAATGTGCGATGTCTGTTTGTAGTGTTTAATGCGACTGCTAATGACATAATGACATAATGCCTAATATGCCCTAATGTGACGCCTCCTTTGATGCTTAACCCACAGCAGGCAGCAAATGTTCAACATCCAATTGCCGTGCACTGTGGAGAACAAGGAGAATGCCCGGCCCTTTGTGATACGCGAAAGCAGCAGCGATAGTGACGAGAGCGATGGCCATATCGTCTACAGGGACGAGGACAACGACAACACCCGGCTGGCCAAGCTGGCCCGCAAGGAGTCGCTCTCCCTGAAGCTGAAACTCCGGCCGGACATGCAGGACCTGATCAACCGCAACATACTGCACCAGGTCAACGACAACGAGCTCAAGGAGTCCAAGGAGGCGATCGGGGCACGCCTCATCCGCCGGCTGTCGATGCGACCCACGGCCGAGGAGCTGGTCGAGCGCAACATCTTGAAAAGTAAGTAGATTTTGGTGGAAAAGCTTTCTTAAATCAAGAGTTTCTCATGGATATTAGAGGAAATATAATGCCTTAAATAGCTAATTTTAAATTTTTTTATTATTAAAGTTATTAGTTAAGCATATAAAGTATTTTTACATTTATTAATGGACTATAAGAACATATTCCAGATCATCTCCTTTTATAAAGTAGGTTTCTGTACTCTCATACATTTTTTAAAATACATCTATATTTTCAAAAAAAAAGGAAGAGGTTTATAGAATTTGTCATTTAAGTTTGTTGACATAATAAAGTACTTTTTAATTTATTCATGGACTATTAAAATATCCACATCTCTTATGTTTCTCAACTACTAAACTCTCATAAAACTTTTTTGAATATAAATATTTTGTAATATTCGGAAAAGGTTAATCCTCTTGGTTAGGTTACTTAGCCATAAATATCATAAAACGATTAATTTTATAAACATGTTTTAGTGGTACAGTGTTTTAAGTGCAAGTATACGGCTCAAAAATTCCTTAAATTTTATAAATCCAAAAAATGTATCTGTAATATTCTCTAGCGTTTTTTCTCAGGTGTATTTGATAATTCTTGATTTTAGTTGGCATTCCCCCTTCAATTACTATAAAATTTGATTTTATTAAACCTAAATTTCCCTTTATTGTGCAGCTCAATCACCCGCCGAGGAGAAGAAGCAGAAGGAGGAGAAGAAGTCGTATCTGTTGCGCAAACTCAGCTTTCGGCCCACTGTCGAGGAGCTCAAGGAGAAGAAGATCATCCGGTTCAACGACTACATCGAGGTCACGCAGGCCCACGACTACGATCGACGGGCGGACAAGCCGTGGACAAGACTGACGCCGAAGGACAAGGCCGCCATTCGCAAGGAGCTGAACGAGTTCAAGTCCTCCGAAATGGCCGTCCACGAGGGCAGTCGGCATTTGACGAGGTATGGGACTATCGCACCCTCTAATTTACCGCATTTCTAAGCAGAACTATAGGGAGAATCAATGGCTGTCAGGGAAAATAGTTTGGAATAGTTCTACCAACTGTCAAATGTAAATTTATTTGGCTAAAACTAAATTGAAACGAATGGCAGCTGGAATTCGATTTCATTGAAATATTTTCAATAGGTTTAAATGAAATTCCATTGCGAAGTTCTTAAGTCCATTTGACAATTTAATTTCTGTTTTTTTATTTATAAGAGAGCATTTCACTCGATTATCCTGTAGAAAATATAGGGACTCATGGTGTTAATTACTCAATTGGCTTTTGGAATAATTAAATTCTGCTGGAGTAATTGACGAGCCAGGGTATTTCGCGCTTCGATGGGCAAGGACAACCTCTGTGTGTAACTGGTTTTGCAAATTGCTCCCACGGGTGGGTGGTGATGGGTGAGTGGTGGCTCTGGGTTCTGGGGCCAAAGCAATCTCGCAATTGAGACATCCCAGTGTACAGGCCCCTGAATTATGTAGCGGGCGTGTCCTTGCGGCCAAATCGAATGGCCAAAAAGTGAGCCAAGCAAAAAATTGCCAATGCCAATGGCCAGTGAAGTGTCACGTGCAGTTTTGGCCACCAGTCACCGAGTCCCTTACAAATGTATTTTGGCGATATGCAGTCACAAAGGATTCGGTGGCGGCAACGTTTTTCCATTTCTATTTCCATTGCCGTTTTTGCTAGGGTTTTTTTTTATTTCTTTTTTTTTTTGGGAGAGTGTAATGGCTTTTGGATTTTGTGTGCTGGCAATGGCCAGTTGCACTTTATCCTTAAAGAGCTAAGCGACCTGCCACACGCCATTTAAACTTCAGCCGCATTTAATTCTATTTTCCAGGACGATGCTAAAACAAAAACTAATCAAAACTTTCTCTTGCAGATTCCATAGGCCATGACGATTGCAATGGCAGCAACTTTCCAGCAAAATACAACAGCAACCCAAGCAACAATTGTATTTTATGCAGCATCAAATTGTCAACAAATGTTTAAAAGCAAAAAATTAAGCCAGCAAACTGGGGAAAATGAAGAAAACTTTCAACGCAAAAAAACAGCCAGGCATAAAAATGCAAATAAAATAAAAACAAAAAAAAAACACAAAAAAAAGGAGGAAGGAAGCGTGAGGAGCGAGGAAAATTAAGAAAGAAAGGCCACATTCAAGAACATAATTAATAATTTTAGGTTTCTGTTGATCATAGCGAGAGTGCCGCTCGGTTTTCTAATTTTAAGTTCTTTGTTTCACCTTCTTTATTTGTTAATTGTGTGTAAATAAAATTCTTTCGATATTCAAGCCAATTTCACAACGCAAATCAAAATATCAATTCGTCTTTTGTAGAAATGTTAAGTCGCTTTTTGAGTCAAGGCAATTATGTATTATATTATATAAAATTAAACAATTAAACAACAACAAGGAGAAACACTATATGATATTCAATTAAATAATTATATTAAAGCAAAAAATGGCTGAGAACAATTCATTAAAGCTTAGACATTAATTTAAACTTACCGTTGCTTTCCATACATTTTTAATTTTTGAATTAAGCCAGCTAAAACACAAAAAAATACAAACAAATTACAATTCTAAACGAAAAATTATGTTTTACATTTATAATTACATTATTGTAAAAAGCTTAAAAGTAAACAAAACAACACATTAAACTTAGAACTACCACATATATACGATAATACGGAAAAATAAATTCTAATTTTTCGAAAGACATGTTTACGAAAGATAATTTTGTTGTTTTCGTTTTATTTTTTCCAGCCTGAGTTCGTTATTTTTAATTCTCGATTGTCTTCTAACATGTACATACATATCGCCAAAGAAAATTTGCAAATCTAAAACTTATCGTGGAGAGATAGGAAGGAAACCCAAAAAGCAGACAAAACAATGCTCAAGCTGATGGAGAAAGGTACGGGTAGAAAAAAACCCCAAAAGTATATAAAAACTCTAATAATAAATGGCAACAAAATATCAGGAAAAATAAACTGAAGCAAGTTGGACCCAGAATGATGTTTTTTAGAGAGGAGAACCAGTAAAAGAAAAAAATTACAACTTAAGACGTAAGTCACGTAACCTAAAACTTTTTAGAGACAGAGTACAGAGATCGGAACCAGATGGAACAACATCATGATGAATATTTATTTTGTAAAAGCAGGGAAAAGCGAAACTGAAACTTTTACTCAAGCATTCCACATAGTAAACTTAACCAAGAAGAAAATATGGAGAATTTCCAAAACAAAAAAACAACAAAAACACAAAATTGTACATTTTGAGGCAAATGCAAATTGAAATGCTCGCGCGTGCTCGTGAATATTTAAACTTAAAAGACGTAAAGTAAATGTAAAACTAAAACTAAAGTTAAACTACAACTAAAACGTAACGTAATGAACTCCGTTTCAAAGGACACTTAGTAAGATACAGATACAGATACAGACACAGCATATAAATTAAACGAAGCAACTTATTTCGAAAACCCCCGATTAAGGGAAAAACCCAAGGACATTAGTTTAACGATACAGTGGCGCTTCCTTTGCAAGTTTCATTCTTCTAGACCGAACACAGAGGGCTGGTAATGTTTTCGGTTTTGGTTTTGGATAATCCACGGAATCGAAACTACATTTAGCAGTCCTTCGTTTCAATCCGAATCCGAATCTGAATCTGAATCTCTCTCTATGTCTGCCTCTTGCTTCAAAGCGTTGCATTGTCAAAGTTAAGCAATATATATTGCATATATACATATAAACAAATATATATAAAAACGGAATAAATAAATTATACATATTTAATGACTATACAAAGGCAGAATATATATGTATATATTCATTTATGTATACACCTATTTATATGAGATGAGGCAGCCGAAGCTATACAACTCTATCAATATGGGATAGCATAGTTTACACTTTTTCTATGGAGCGATTTATAGTGTACGATACACAAGAATTAGAGCAGAAGAGCCAGAGGCGTCGTCGGTTTCGACCCCTTCGAACTCCCCCGAGTAATATGCATGCGTTAAATGCGATTGCGAGCTATCTAGAACCGACTTTCGTATTACAGCAGGGCCTTTCCTCCTCGATCCCCACCAGTTTTCGTTCTTCTGCCATTGGTTCTTCCTACTCCCTATTTTTCGACACATCTTTGCCAATTTCTGCAGTTGCAGAAACCAAAATAAAAACGAGTAAAAATAAAAGATCTATAGCAATAACTAAGAACACCATCTGAAGCGATTGGAGAAAAGAGTTTTTGGGCCAAGGCCGAAGTATGAAAAAATGGAAAACCACAGAAAAAGTTGTGAAAATTTGCAAATGCGAAAAGGGTTAAGTACGAGTAAAGAAGTTAAGTAAAGTAGCGGAATAAGTGTAGCGAGAGTTTTGGCAAATAAAAACAGAGATCACAAACAACAGAAAAACCAGAAAAATATTGAATAATAATCACCGACAAATTGAGATTTAATAAAGATTTAATTACTTACAAAAAGCATTCGTATTTTATTTCAGTACACAACTTCGGTTGGTTGAAATACATTTTTCTTTATTACAGCAGCAAAATTGTTCATCTCAGAAATGTTAAAGATTTTATAAAAAACGAAATTAATACAAAATACAATTTTTATGAATGTGGTTTCTCAACTGGTGAAAAATGGTCTTCTACGGTCAAATAAGAATCTCCTGAGAAAAAAAATGGAAATAAAAATGATTATAAGTAATAACAGAATTACTCACGAGAGCATAGTTATTACGATTTTTCACACTATAATAATTTTGAAGGATCGGAAGAATTACGATCTCTCGGAACTGATGAAACAAATCATTTTTAATCGGCTTTTACGTTGAAATAGTCACAAATCTCCTCGACACTTTCGCACGCCTCAATGGCATTGGCCAAAAGTTGGGTTGTGGCCTGCAGTAAGTTCTCCATTTGCAGATAGTTTGCGGCCAGGATGAGTTGCAATAGGAACTCGTAGTCGGCATCATCTTCATCAAGGAGTTTCTTGAGAATCGATTGTCCATCCATTTCATTATCTTTCAGATCTGCAACCGATGCTGACCACTTGATTATAAATCGCAAGTTCCTGGCATCAACTCTAGCCAGAGGAAAAACTTCGGTCGTGGTAATATTATTCTCTATCTCAAGAATTATTAACTTGCGAATGGGTCCCATCTGTAGAGCCAAACGAGTGTCCACTGTAAAGATTACGCCGTCGTTGGTCTGCAGTTCAACATATTTTGGGTGTTCTAATTCTAAAGAAGTGGTCGACATCTTATGTTATGAGAATTTTGTATATTTTTCTGCGTATTCAAAATAAATTGTATTTTATGTTGGGTGTTCTATGTTTGCCGTCTGTGGAGATTTTGAAAAGTACAAGCTATACAGTTTTTGACTGAACCACCAAGTGCCAACTTAGTTTTACAAAAAAAGAACTTTTAAATATAAAAAATAATACGTTCTTCTTTTTTAGTGAATTAATCAAATCTAAAAGTTATTAAAAGAACTGTTTGCCAAATGGCCGCCTAAAAATATGCTTTGCCAAGTTTTCATAGCCGTACGAAAACCTCTTGTCTACTTTTGTGAAGCGGTTGCTTTTTCCATTTCCCACAGATTTTCCGGCAAATCCGCTTAAGCTTTTGTGCGCATTTTTCCCCCTTTCATTCATATTCCGTTTAAGCCAGAACACACGACATTCATTCATGAATTCCACGGCGTTTTCCTTAGCCATTCTGCACATATTTCACATGCCACGTACCTCCGGTGGTTTTGTGTATTTTTGTATCTTTGCATCTCGCGGCATCTGCGTACGTGCCAGACCAGAAAAAACCCATGAAGTAGCCAGGTGAGAGACAGTGCGAGGAGGTGAAGGGCCCCAGGTGAGGCGACACCAATCACAATCATCATAAGACCATCATACCATCGCCATCCCAGTTGATTATGATGAGCTCTGGAGATCTTTCGAGTCGAGTCGAGTGCCTGTGCCTGTGCCTTTTTCGACTGGGCCTCTTTACTCGCGAAAGTTTTATCGCCGCGGCGAGATTCTAACATTTTTGTGTGCATTCCACTTTGGTGCGTTTGTGGTTCCTCCGATTTCTCAAGAGTTTTTCGCTCATAAAACGTACTCGAACTCATTAAAACGCGCACTCTGATAACTGAGATGGCCAAAAAAGCAAATTGGACACCGTCAACTGGTCCCGGACGACTGCTGCGATGGAATATGGCTACACTGGGGGAAATATTCTTGGTTTAGAATGGGTTATATTCATTTTTACTTGGTATTTTGTAAGAAAGTAAGTTTGTGCAATGGTAAAACTTTATGTAGGTGGATTGTTTGGCCAAAAGATCGTTCTACACCCTATATAATAATTTATAAAAATTATACTAAATTTAGTTCTGAAATTAATTTATATTTTATAACTCCGAATTTTTATAATATTTACTATAACATTGTATTCGTATTGTAATTCTTATTGTGTTGTTGGGCAAAAATGAAACTCATGACTGACCATTAAAGTTTGACTGGTTTCTGTACTCAAGTACTACTTCTGTACTCAAAATAATATATTGATTATTTATGAATTGCGTACTTTAAAAAATATATTCTTAAATTATTTTATTTTTTTAAGAAAAAAAGCGGCTATGGGTCACATTTTATAAGGATAAGCGCTTTGATTTTTGAAATATTTGCTCTTCCTTGAGTACCACAATTTTCGCTCAGTGTAATAGCCGACGTGTTTGCATGTGCGTCTCGCTGCTGATTTATTTGATGGGCAGTTAGAGATGATGTTCTTGCTGTTGGGGGAGCACGTTGCAGGTTCTGGAAATGGGGCAGACGGCGTAAAGACTCAGCCAGCTTTCCAACAGCCAATTAGCCCAGGTTCACGTGTGTGTGGGAAAACCAGGAAAAGGCCAAAAACGAGCAGAAATAATACGATAGACACCCAGAGATCGAAGGGTAATGAAGAGATCCATTTCTTTCGAAAATATCAGCTGACCCATCAGCTGTCCTGGAGCCATTTTTGCGAGCACTATCAATCCTCGCGTATCTGGACAATCGGTTAACACTTCAGCATCGATGTGCCTCACAGTGCTGTCCATTGTTTTGGGTCAGCCTGCCTGCTTTTTGGGCCTTTTTGTTATTTGTTATTTTCGTTGGGAGGCGAGGGAAATTTGCATTTGGCCTGTTGGCCAGGTTCGCGACTCCGTGGAAGTCGCCCGTTTGTCCCTGGGCTTTCTTTATGACCCGACTTGCAGTTTGCAGTTTACCGCTTGCAGTTTTTTTTTTTCTATCTTATTTATATGTATACATTTTTCACTGTGGCCTTTTGTTCGGTCGGCCGGGCAGAGAAAAGTTTATTTGATTCTATTTTCATTTTATTTGAATTGTGTTGTGGCTTTTATGGCTCGACTTTGCGCCGAGATTTGTTTGTGAAAGTTGGCCAATATCGATGAGGAGGCTCCTCTTGTCTTGTCTCCTTTGTTGGTGGTTGTTGGTTGGCTGTTGGTGGCTGTTGGCTTGGTGGTGATTGTAAAACAATAAAAGCAACACCTGACTGCCGTTTGCCAACAATGGCGACGACTTTGTTGGTGGCCAGGCGGGAAACAAATGCCGGCTAGATTTTATCGGGCTCCATGCTCTATGCTCCTGGCCCCAAACTCCAGGCTGTGGCCATTTTTGGCCAGAAACAAAACATGCTTATTGTTTGTAGATTTTCCGCAGCGTTAACCCAAACATTTCAATTGCGTTTGGATGCGTTTTCCCTCGAAATCTGAATTTGTGTTAATTTTGTGGGAAAAACGAATGATGATATCAACACAAATCACAGACTGTTCCTTGGTATCTGTAGATATATATGTATTCAAAAAACCAAACTCATTAAATTGTTTTTATAATTTTTCCTTTCCTTACACCTAATCAAAGCCAGAAAATGATATTGTTTAATATATGTTTTTCCCCTTAATGATCAATTTTAATGACATTTTTCCTGGCGAACAAATTACAGTAGAAAAAGAGATGGCAACGGGGCTGAGCCGAAATTAAATCTAAATCTAAATAAATAAAAATCGTGCACTGTTAAGTGAAAGGCATCGACGACGATCTGTGTGCAGTTGCAAATTTAATCAATTGATGAGGCAGTTGCAACTAGCGAGTTGCAACTAGAAACTTGCAGGTTGCAGGTTGCTGGCCCGTTGCTTTTGTTTGTTGTTTGTCGATGGCTGCCAAGCAATTTGGATTTTGTGGCACCAACTGTAGCGGCCGCAAAATAACAACGATCCTGACCAGAAAGACATTTACATTCTACTGTTTTGGCTGATTGTTGTTGTTGCTGCTGCCACTGCTGCAAGTGTCGCTGGCAACATCAGTGCAACAGCAACAACATCAGCAATCGCAGCACACTTTACACGCTTAAAACCGTGACTTTAATTTTCTTTTTACTCCCTCTCAACGTTTCAGTTTTTGATTTGTTTTCCCCCTCGTTTTCTAATTTTTTGCCATTTTATATAATTTCAAAATTCATTTCCCAATGGCCGCGCTTTTCATTAAATCGCCTTGCAATGTCGCCAATAGTGTTTTTTGTGCCTGCTGCAACATAGTTTTTTGTTACAGCCATTTTGGCCATTTGGCTGCCAATGCTTTTAATTTGTAATTACATTGCACACTTTACTTTCGTTTGTCCGGCTTTGATTTATGGCCCAAAGAAATAAACGTCCAAATTGCTAAATGGCAGGAATTGGCCAAATGGAATCGTGAGTGAAGTCACAAAGCGCTTGTCAATTTAACTCAGGCACCGGTGATCGTAAAAGGAAGATTCAGAATGGGTTAGCAGATGGGTCACCTGGTCTTTCTCTTATTTTATATATATTTTTTACATTTCCTTTCTAAGTTTTCCTCTAATTAAAATATCATAAAAAGTGAGCAATTTAAAGATGGGAGAGAAAATAGTAATTGATTGGAAGTTTTCTTTTAATGGGTATATTTTATATTGCATTTATATTTCTATTTGCAATGGTATGATCTTGTCCTAACTTTTTATAAACGAAATTTAAAGGATCTATATTAAAACCCTATTTATCTACTACCTCCTTTAATAAAGATGTCATAAATAGTTGTACCTGCTGTGCTGTCTATGCCATCAATAAATAAGCTCATTAACTGCCTGTAAAATGTTGCTGTTGCCATTGTCGCTTCACTTGACACTTTGTGTTGCTGTGGTGCAGCAGCAGCAGCAGCAGCAGCAACACGCAATAGCAGCAACTCAACAGCAACACCCACTCGTTTTTGGAGCTACAGGCAAGTGACACACACATGGGAAAAGTGCAACAGTTTCAAATCGCTTCTATTGACAACTGCAACAAGCATTGCAGTTGCTTTTACGGCGGCAACATGTTGCTGCAACATCGCGTAGACCCATTGATTAGGTGACCCTTGTAGTTTTCCAACTTTTTTTCCTTGTCTCGTGTCTTGGCCCCAATTGTCAATGACTTTAGCTGGTTGCCGGTGGCATGTTGCATGTTACTGTTGTTGCAGCTGCCGCTGTTGCTGTTGCCGTTGTCTTGCCATTGATTGAATTACATACAAGCTCTCCCTTGGAGACCTTAGGCCACCAACGCAAAAGGCAAAGAGTCAGGCCGGTTAGCCAGTTAATTAGCAGCTAGTTCAGCAGGCTGTCCTTGTGCCCAAATGTGAGTGGGCTGTGCGCATATGGTGTGGGATCAAGAAAATAACCAAGAAACCCCCAAGAAAATCCAATCAAAGCCGGCTCAAGGATGTTTATATCTTTGCCACACAAGATTGTATCTTTATCTCTGGCTTTATATATATTTCAGTGAGTTTGCAGCACATAATCCTGTCTTTTAGATAAGTTTCAGCAACCGTTTGCCGTTTGCAATCCTTTAAGCGGCTTCCAATGCGAATTGGACAGCAGATACTATATCACCATTAGCATTGCCTGCTCCCCAATCACTCACTGTCCAATCGCATAAGGCATCAACCTCAGGTAGCCCAGCTATTTTCCCACTTTTCCCCTGTTTTTCCCCCCCATTCCCCATTCCCCATGAAAACCCCATTCGACGACGAACTTGTCCTTAAAATGTCAGCCAAAGTGTTCATTAATTTGCGCCCCTCTCGCTCGCACATTGTCCCTCTCCCTCTTGCTCCATTTTGTTTATGATTGTGGCGCGTGTGTGCGTGCTTGTATCTGTGTCTAGTCATTGATCATGAATTCCACGAGCTTGGCACTCGCTGCATGCGTCATTCAAAGCGGCTACCCCGCCTGCCTGCCACACTGCACGAAAATACTGTGAAATACCAAATAAAATATGACTCGATTTTCTAAATTACAAGCAATGTCTGAGTATTTGTCATTTGAAAAATTCT